TTTTTTAATATTATAAACTTTTTATTTAAATATTTTTTATTTTTATATTATTTTTTATTATAATATATTTTTTATTATAATAATTTATATTTTTATTTTTTACTTAGGATAATATATTTTTTATTTAAAATAAATATTATAATAATATATTTTTGGATAGTAGTGGAATATAAAAAAATAATAAGAGTATAATGGTCTAAAAATTTAGCTCATTTCTAAAAACCCTCAATTTGGGGGAGCTAAAATAGGGGGAGGGAGGGGAAGGAACATTTTGGCTTTCTTTCCCTTCAAAATTTTTAACCTAATAAGGGGAGGGGCTCATTTTCCCTCCCCTCTCCCACCCTCCCCTCCAACCAAACACACCCTTAATCTCTAAATGAATTTTTCTCTCTTCACTCCTCTTAAAGTGACATTTAAAAAGGAAATTTGAGTTATTCTGAAATGTGATCTATTAGAAAAATAGATGTCAAATATTGCAAAATCACGTTAGAGTTTTTTCTGTCTTTTTTTTTTTTGTCCACCAGGTGATGTTAGAGTCATTTAGCACTTTGTCCGGGCTATCCCGCGCAACATGAGCAGAATCAGTAGCGAAATCATAGTCACTTTTTTTTTTTTCTCCCCTTATTTATGGGCCCATTGAATTAGCAGTGAAAAAAGTAACTTATTTCTAATATGAATTTTAGAAAAATAAGATTGGTTAAAATAAATTATGTTTGGATTGAAGTTTAAAAAAGTTAGTTTGTAAAAGTGATATTAATAAAAAAAAAATTTTTGATTATAATTGAGTAAAAGTAAGTTTGTTTGTAAAATTATCAAAATGAGTATAAGTTTTAATAAATAATAAAATATGATTAAATTTATTCATTTTTTTAAGTTAATTGTTGTAATAATTATAGTTATAACTAATAACTTAGTTACTAAGAATATTTTTAAGAAGATAGTATTTATTTATTATAAATAATTAAGTTAAATTTTTTAATCTATTATATTTGTTGGTTTCTATAATAATTTTTTTCTTTTTTTTTACCAGAGATTTCTATAATAATTACCCACTAGTGAAGATACCCGTCATATTTTTGAAGACACAGCGTGACACGTGCATGTGCGCGTCACCCTCGCACTCTTCCCGGGGCTACTTCTTCTTGTGTTTTTTTGGGGGCCAAACCCGGGGCTACTTCTCGGCGCAATATACATAGGACGATTTTGATATCAAAATGCTCATCCCATCAGCTTACTTAATTTTGTTCACCCTCGCGCTCTTCGAGGGAGTTTCTTATTAATTTTGTAATTCTTCAAAAAGAAAAACGCACGATGCACTCGCATTTTTAGTCTTAAAGTGAAATGGCCTAAACACCCTCCCAAACTGCCATCAGCTTATCCAAATAGGCTTATTATCAGCTGACGTCATTTTTAGTCCAACAACCGCAGGCTATTAATGGAATCACAGTCACTTTTTCCATATTTTAAATATATCTTTTGAAATGGGTGAAGGATACCCTTCATCTTTTTTGAAAGTACAGTTTGGTGAAAAATACAGTAAACGTATTAAAGTAGGAGAAAAATATCAATTTTTTTTTTGTCTGTGTATTTTGTCAAGCATAAGCTCCTGGTCTCTCAAATCGTCAATTGTCATCCTCTTTCTCCCCCTGTCTGCTCTCTTCCCCCGCCTTTCGTTTCTTCTTCTTCTTTTAATGTTTTTAATTTTTATAATAACTATTTATTAAAAAATATTCAGATAAAATAATAAATTTTACTAATAATTCTTTAAAAGAAAAAAAATCCCCAAAAAATATCTTTAAAATTTTAAAACCCTAAATCAAAAATGACTACAAAAATATATTGTCATTTTCTTTTTAAATGTTGTTATTTGTTATTAAAGTGTAGTAAATAAGACTGATTTAAAATTTTGAATTCAAAAATACTTTTTTAGGATTCTCTTTTTTTAAAATTTGATATACAAGGTAATAAAAATATTTTTTCTATTTAAAAATTTTGAACTCTCAAATTTAAAGAAAAATTAAGCTTTTTTACCTAATTCATTCACCATTTAAAATTATTTTTTTACTTAATTTATTTACTACTTAAAATATATAAATAAGAAACTCCCTTCATAATTCCATCAGAAAAATTTATAATATACTAAAAGATTACTTCTACTGAAAGTATCTATCATTAACATTTTCAAGTTATGGTATGGGAATGGATCTTTTTCATAGCAAAATTCATTCCTTCCGAAATTTATAATATGGGTTACCTTCATAAAATTTTGAATTCCAAGATGTTAACTCACTTGGTATCTATTGATAATTATAAATTTCAGTGACAATACATTTTTTTTCAATAAAAATGATCTATTCCCATAAAAAAATATATATATTCCCATCTTATGACTTGCAGATATTAATGATAAATCCATTTTGATAAAGGTAACTTTTTAGTATATTACAAATTTGTCTAGTAAAATTACCAACTGATGATTTCATATTTGTGTATTTTAAATAGTAAATAAATTAGGAAAAATTATAATGAAGTCCAAAAATAAAAATTACAAAATAAGTTTTAGAAATTGTCATTTTTTACTCAGAAACTTATTATCGGCTATTTAGGTTGTTATTTAGATTCTTTTAGTAACTATTTTTTTCTTGGAACCTCATTGTAATTCTTCCAATAAATTAAGTAAAAATGACTTAATTTTCTTATTTAAAATTGAGAGTTTAAACTTCATAAATAGAAAAGAAATGTATATCTATTACTTTTCATATTAAATTTTAAAAAATTTGGTCATAAAAATTTATTATTTTATTCAAATATTTTTTAAATAAATAATTTTTACAAGAAGTTAAAAATTAAAAAGGAAAAGGAAGAAAAACCAAAGGCTAAAAGGAGAAGAGAGAAGAGAAAGAGAGGGGGAATGTGAGAGTTGACCATGAAAAAATGAGTCCCACAAACCGAAAAGGTAAGATATGCTCGTTGGATTTCACAGACTTAATATTTTCCTTATGCTTTTTTTAAAGAAAAAATAAAGAGTATTTTCATCATTACCTTTTTAAAAATTCATGGAAGCCTGTTACCTGCCACTCTATTGTTTGATTTGTTCTTAGGTTATAATTAATTGTAAAAACTTGAATAAATTACTGATGGCCTTTGCTGTACCCACTGCACTATATATTCTTAACTGTAGAAATTAACGTTTTTATTTAAAGATCATTGTTACATTTGTCCAATCAGTAGAATTTAATAAGATTCTTCTGTTATTTTAAAATAATTTCAAATCACCGAATTAAAAATGAAATTACAATTTTAGAATTCTTAACTGTAATTAAAAGTTTACAAAAATCAGTAAACGGAATTTGTTTTGGACGTGCGTGTCAAGAAAAATACTACCACCCCTCCCACCCCTCCCAATATGATCTACTTTATACATTTGTCCGTTAGTTTTATATAAATTTTTAATTTGATTTTTTAACTTAAAAAATATTTTTTTGTTTTTTAACTCTAAAAAGTTATGATTGTTTTGAAAATTAAATTTAATACTCCTCTCATCCTTAATATATAACTTAATTGTTAAATTAATTTTAGTCCTAAATGTAAAACATGTTTATTATCTTTGTCAATTTTTTTTAAAATTATCCATATTGATACTCCATTAATCATAATCTTTGCATTTACGAATGTTTTGTCAATATTTAAATCTAAATGTTATCATTTTTAAAATTAAAATTAAATGATTAAAGTGCATTTTTGAAAATTAAAAAATTAAATTAAAACTCTATATAAAATTAAAAAACTAAATATATATTTCAGTCAAAATTTTGTAACTTTACTTCTTCAACTTTTTAAATTCAACCGACTAAATTTTTTCTTAAAAACTTCTAGTTACCTTTTCTTATGTTTTGGTCATATTTCTTTTATAAAAGTGTTATAACCTAACTTTTTTTTTTTAATTTTTAAATTAAGTTCACTAAAAATTTTATTCCCTTCCTCTCATCTCCAAATCCATCGTACCAATCATAGGGCTAATCACGGTCTTGTTTGTTTTCTGATCTTGAAAAACCATTTTTTCTCTTAAAAAAATAAAAAATTTGTGGCTATTTCTTTTTAGTTAAATGATTTCAAAAATAGGAAAACATAAAACTGCTTTTAAAAATTAAAAGACCAAAATAATTTTTAGTTGCCTTCTTGTTTTTAGTTTTTGCATTTCTTAATTTTTGTTTGGAAAATTTGGAAAACTTTTTTTTTTAAGGTGCTTCTAATACTCCAAAGTATTCATTGAATGTGTTCAGCATCCTAAAATGTTTTTTCACCTTAATGCTAGATGCACAAAAAATACTTTGAATTGCCGGATGTAACAAAAAATAATAAGAAAATTATGCACAGGTCCGAAGGATGAGACTTTATTCATCTAAGGTCTTATGAAATATCAAAATTACTAGTAAGTCCTAAGAGATCTTAGAGTATTATATTCTAATTGTAAAATAACATCACTGTCCCTCAGATTCTCAAGTCACATTTTCTCTGCCATTGCGATTGACAACCTCAGTAATGACTATTAACAATCCAATAAGAAGGCATTGACAACCTAAGTAGTATCATTTGACAACTTATTTTATAGGATCACATAACTTCCATTCACTAAATTATAACTAAATAGTGTTAAAGCTGATTTTATGTAATTGTTATGCTATACTATTTAGTTATAATTTGATCTTATGTAGAGGTTATATTATTCTATAAAATGAGTTGTTAACAGGCACTGTCTAGGTTGTCAACAACTCTCCTTGGGTTGAGAAAGAAAAACAAAAAATGCTTTCGACGACCTTGGGAGGGCCGCCGGCTATGAAGTCGACGACAACAGAGGAAGAATGGGATGCGATAGCAAGAAGTAGGAAGAAAATAAGGAAGGCAGGGGAAGTATTGATTCGTAAGATTTTCCATCGCTGTCGAAGGGGGAGGTTGGAGGCAGAAGTGAGGAAAACAGAAGATCTTATAGGGATTCAGTTATGGAGGGAGAAGGGGCAGGGATAGAGGGGAATGCTCTATTGTTTGGTATGGAGTCAGAGGATTGTGTAGATACAGGGTTCGCGTCCTTACAGGATAAAGAGGGAGGAATTCAGGTTGACAGATCTGATCCGATGAAGCCTAATTTCTTACTGTCAAGTGAAGAACATCAAAGGCTATGCGACTCGTTTGCGCAGACCTTGGTTGTGAAACTGCTCAGAAAAACGACTACACTCGCTGCAATGAAAAGGAACTTGCCGCGACTGTGGGGAAAGAGGGGGAGAGTGAAGGTCTCTGATGTGGAGAATGGTTTTTTCCTAGTAGGATTTCAAAGCAAAGAGGATTATATGGATGCTTTAACTGGAGGCCCATGGACCCTATTCGACTCCTATTTGAGCGTGGCGAGGTGGTCACCAGAGTTTGAACCAGAGCTGGAGGAGATCACTAAAATTGCACTATGGGTGCAGTTGCCAGGTATTTCTCTAAAATACTATGATAAGAAATTTCTGTGGAACGTTGGGAGTGCGATTGGGGTTGTGTTGAAGGTGGATACTAGCACGGCTCTAAGGGCGAGGGGAATGTATGCTAGAATATGTGTTGAAATTGATCTGACTAAGCCCCTAGTTCCTCAATATGCTATTAAGGGGATAACTAAGCAGATTGAGTATGAAAGTATGGGGTTCATGTGTATGGGATGTGGGAGATTCGGGCATGTAAAAGAGTAGTGCAAGGAGAAAGGTGAGTCTAGCATGAAAGTAGATACGGAAACCGTGGACAAGCATACAGGGAACCAGGCTATTGATGAAGGAAATAACAGACCTTGGAAAGTGGTACAGAGAGCTAGATGGGGAAGGAGAGGACAGAACAAGGAAGAAAGGTTAGGAGGGAGATCAAGATTTACAGTGTTGCAGCAGGAGGGGGGTGAAGAGGGAGATGATACTGTGCAACCACTAAAAGATATAACCAATGCGATGGTGCCTGTTACAAAGCGGAAGGACACCCGAGGGAAGAACTTGGGGGCACAGAAGGCAGTTACTACAGTAGAAAAGAATGGGAGCAATGATGAGGAAAATTTTGTTTTCTCAGCAGGAAACAGGGAGCAGGGGGTATGTAAGGATGGAGCAAGGGGGAGAGGCAGACTTGTAATCAAAAGATATACACAGGAGCATTTACGAGTACAGGAAGTGGGACAGCATGAAGTAGTAGGGGAATAAAGTACAGAAGAGGAAGGGATTATGGAAATTGATGATAACAATGGTTTCCATGATCCTGAAAGAATCAATTCACTCTCGAATGATGTGGATAGAGGGCCAAAAATGCAAGGGACCGGTCTGGAAGATGATGGTGCTGCTGGTTCTGAGGTAAATGAGTTCGAGGAGTGTATGGTTGATTGAACGTGGGTCATCCTCTTATACATTTTTATCCATGTTTAAGATCATTGTGTGGAATTGTAGAGGAGCAGGCAGTGAGAGATGTGCCGTTGCAGTGAAAGAGTTAAAAAGAAGTTACAGGCCGGATGTGTTTGTTTTATGTGAAACAAGGGTGAGTGGGAGAAGAGCAAGAGATGCAGTAAAAAGAATGGGGTTTTCTCATTCTGAAAAAGTAGAAGCTAATGGATACACTGGGGGAATTTGGGTCTGTTGGAATGATGAAGGATTAGGAGTGGAAGTGCTTTGGATAGAGGATGAATTTATCCATGTAAAGTTGAGGAAAGAGGACTATGCATACTGGTACTGTACCTTTGTGTATGCCAACCCGCAAGGTGTTAGAAGGCAGGAACTTTGGGGGAAATGGTCTCAGATTGCAAGAGAGGTAGGTGGACCGTGGTTAATCACCGGAGACTTCAATGATATTGCATCTCTAAGTGAGCAGAGTGGTGGGGCAGGTGCAAGTTTTGCCAAATGTAATGCATTCAGGGATTGGATCCATGGAAATGCCCTCATTGATTTAGAAACAGCGGGTCCTTTCTTTACATGGAGAGGAGCGCAATGGGAAGGAAGGGATGAAAAATTAAATGCTAGAAAAGCCTAAAGACATTGAATGTCCTTACCCAAAGAAAAGGTAAGTATTGAATGTAAAAAAATTAAAATTCAAGTTGGTTTCCTTCCCCTCCCGCATGTCTCGATCGACCCTTGGTGTCTTAATGGGTTTAGAGTTGTATTTTGTTAATAAGTTTGGTGTTTCATATAAGTTTAGAACGAGATATTGTGTAGTTAAATATTAAGAGATCAGGTTTGGAAGTACTGAAAATTAAATTATAATTTTTGTACAAAACTCTCAAACTATTCAGCCTTGAAGGAAAGATAGAGAAGGGATTGGACTTTAACTGATTTGAGTTTAAAAATGGATCCTACATGCGAAAGTGAGTGGGGTTAACATGTGTAATTAAAGTCAAGATGAATAAAAACCCCCAAAAAATAAAGTTAAACAGCCAAGTTTAAAAGATTTTAAGCAAAGGAGAGGAGCTAATGCATCCATAAATATTAGTTGATAGTAATGTGCCCATATGTATGTACATTTCCAAGAAGGAAGCAAATTCAAGAGAAGTAAACAAACGCATTAAGACGTAATAGCAATTAAAATTTTTTTAACTCCTACATGTTAATTTGTGCTTAAATTGTTTTTGCATGTTTGAGCTTCCATGTATTCTAGAGTTGAGTTATGCCATTGAGTATTTAAACTCCTTGCTTGAGATGTGCCTCGGCCATGTGTATTAATTAGTTAACATTTGTAAGGTATTGTTCTATTTCATGGCTTATACATGCTTAAATGACCTTGCACTTGATGTGTGAGTTTTGCTACTGAGTTTTGTTTGAAACCTCACTCTTCTTTTATCGTGTTCCAACCTAGCACAAGTTCCTCCAAGAGGCAAAGGAAAGCAGGTGGAGAATTGAAGTACTTGTATGCTTTTATGTATAGAGTTCTTTATTATATACTTTGCCCATCCTCCAATTGAGTTGAAGTTGTATAAGTTTAAAGAGCTATTTGTATTAAGTTTATATTATTTCCATGGTTGTACCCTTTATGTATGCTCATTCAAAAGGAAGAGGACTATACAAAGTCTAAAGGAAAGTGACATGCATTATAGATGGTTTTTTTTCCCCCATGTCGATGATAATATGCTACCTCCGCTAGACCAGTTGACTAATTTGGAGATGATCAACAACCTTTTTTCAAGAAGCATCAGCTTGCTGAAAAATCTTCTTATTACAGAAAAACCACATACTAAACAAAATTAACCAGAATGTGGAATACAGTTGTTAACTAAGAAAACTCATTACTACAAAATATGAGATTTTTGTATGTTCTAGAGGCTTTTTAGAGGCTTTTTTTCTGCCTTTTTAGTGGGAGACATTGCAAAGGAGATGAAGATAGAATAGACGAAAAAAGGAAACTATTTTCAATCCAACTTTCTAAATCTTCAAAATTCCCCTCCAAAGACCGTAGCCCTAAGGGAGATCCAAACCATACAGCTCTAGCCCACGGGTATTGGGTAAAAAGGTGACAAAGGGATTTCTGAGTAGCCCCGCAATACAGAGTTCAAAATTCAATTCAACTTGCATATTATGATCTCTTAGACAAGTTTTTACTAGAAGGGACCATGAGCAGAGCCTCCATACAAATAGTTTAACCTGGCGGTGGTCCGATATGGGTCGCTGGTGGGAGCAGTTGGCAGGGGATGTAAATTTTTTTAACTAAGAGGCATATATGTTTTTTTTCTTGTTGAATTTCAAAATCACATTTTTTGTCTAACACTAATAACGCATTTAGAATAGTTTATAAGTAATTTTTTAATTATGATTTCTAAAATGTGAGAAAGTATGTAAAAAACATTTTGTCTCGACTTATGTAAAATGTGTTTATAAGTAGTTTTGAATGTTATCCTAGACAGGCCTTACATGGGATTATGAGCAGGTGTTTTTTAAATTACTGAATTTGAGAACATCACGTTAATTACATTACGCAGAAGAAAGTGATCGGCTTAAAAAAGAAGCAAGAGCAATGCTCTTGAAATTGGAAAATCATATGGATCAACTTGAGCTTATTTATATCTTGCAGTGACTTGGAGTGGATCATCATTTTGCCCTTGAAATAAGCAACATAGAAAGTTTTTACAAAAATAAAGACCGATTAAAGAGGAGCAACAATTTATATGTCACGGCTCTGGAATTTAGGCTCTTTAGACAACATGGCTATGATGTGTCATTAGGTATTTGTTTGATCGTCAAATTACTAAGTTGTGTTAAGAATATACTTGCCTTTCTATACCATTAAATTGTTTTATTTGTGTGGGTGTCTGAAGAACGAACTGGTAGTCGCTCTAGGTATACTTCAAAAATTAACCGAATTAATACAGTACGGTGTACAATCCACATCGTATTCACTTTAAAGAGCCTCTAAAAAAAATCCTAAGCAACTAAGTATGCAAAAGATAAAGAATTCACTTGGAAAGGGGTTGATTTTCTTTTTAACTAACTAATTGGCAAAATTTAAAAGGATGCAAAATGAGTAAATAATTTTTAGATTTTTAGTTTATAAAATGGATATGAATGAAATAAACAAAGAGAATTAACAAATGGTAGTAAATAGAAAAGCAATCATCTAGCACAATGATTAAGGCCATCGTTACTTCAATTAATTTGGGAGTTAGCTAAATTCAAAAGACTCTAAGGGCCACCCCCTTAGACTCAGTTTGATTAGAATAATCAATACCAAGCTACCGTGATATTAATTACTCACAATTAAATTGTTTAAGCACAATTAGCTAAAGAGAATCAAAGAAAAACAATTAATATTTTTAATCAAATAACCAAACCACCTTGAATAACCACTGGATATTCACCATAATTTCAAAACATAGTCTAACCAAGTACAATGTAAGGGAATTAAAGTTAATCATATCATAATATCAAATGCTAATCAAAGATTTCAACAACTACAACCAATCTCAATATAAATATAAATCATCACAGCATATTCAAACATTGTAAGATAAACTCTAAGACCTAAAAATCACAATTACAATGAAAGAAGTAAAAATTGGAAGAGCAGAAACTCCCTTTTGAAACTCCAAGTTCAAGTCATAAACACTGTGCTAGAGAATTGAAGGATTTAGTTGAGCTCTATCACTAAAACTCCACCGTATACTTATGCTTAAATAATCACAGCCATGGCAGAAAGCACAAAGGAAGATAAAAGAGACAATGATGATGATGAATGGGCTTCGGTTGATGGGAGATAAGGAAGCCGTAATGAAGGCAGTGGATTGAGAATTAAGGTATGCAGTTTTCGGCGAGTCCCTTGATCCTTCGTTGAGTCGTTGCTCTGTCTCTGGTCTACCTCTGTTCGCTCTCTTTGCTGCTCCTTCTCTGTCTGCCCCTGCTGATTTTAGACGAAGGAGAAGAAGAAGACGATAATGATGATGGGAGATTCTGCCATGCCGTCGCAATCCTTTGGTCCTTCTTCACCTCCATTCTGCTCTTCCTGTTGCTTGCCCCTAGTCCTCTCTCCCTGTTCGCCGTCAAGCTCTCACCGAATAAGGATGATGATCATTCTTAATTTTTTTAAGGCAGGCGGTAAAACGGTGCATTTTACTGCTTGACCCTCTTTTATTTATTTATTTATTATTTCTTCTTTTTTTTTTGTCCTTTTCTTTCTTTTTTTTTTAATTTTTAAATGTTCAAAACATGCGATCAAAATTCAAGAATAAGATAGTATTAATTGT